GAAAAAACACATTTTATGGGCTGCCGGCCATTTAGCATTTTCAAGACCTTGACCGGTAACCGGCCATATAGACACAGCGTTTTTTAAACGTGCAAGTATTTTGTTTGCAATAAAATTCGGAGTGATTACTAAACAAAAGATGAGCTTTTCAAATACATAAAAATTAGTCTGGGCAAATCACTCTCAGTWSHATAGAAATGAATACTTCTGGCGATAATAATCCGTTGAAACACCAAATGTTTTAAACAACCGAAATTCATATACACTGCCTAAAATGTTCAAAGAAAATATGTTTAACCCTCGCTTTATTTCAATAACATACGTTTAATGTTGATTAGATGTTTATATGCTTTGAAAATTGTTGGGTTAATACAACTGACAAAATGTGTGTTTACGCTTATAATTGTGACTAGAATAAGTCATTCCTACGCACCTGAGAGTGATTTGCCCAGACTAATYTTTATTTCTTTGTAAAGCTCATGCCTTGCTTAGTTATCACCCCGAATTTCATTGGAAACAAAACACTTGCACATAGAAAAAATAATCTTTTTTTCTAGGTACTAGTTTGCATATACAACTACATATGTCAACACTTCGAGTTCCAGAAAATTTGCTTTTCAATTAAATGCTCTGAAAATCAACGAAATAAATAAGAAAGAGTTACTTAGGAAGCCACAATTTAAATTTTTGAAATTTCACACAAGCTCAGTAGAAAGTTTGGCTATTTCGAGTGCAATTTTTAGCCATCAGTCGTGGAACCGTATATGTAGCAGGGCCGTAGCCAAAAATTTTCTGTTGGTTCGGTTTTTGGAAAATAGGTGTGCGTATTTATTGATTCATAATATTCTCGTGATATAAATGCTACTACTATGAGTCTCATAAAAGAACTGTTTGCAAAGCATTTTGGTGGTTGTATTAGAAACGGCAAAAAGCAAATCGCGTATTGTTTCTATAAACCTMAGAGTTTGAATGTTGCGAAGGTACATTTTCTTGTCTAGTTCTTTAGAATGTATTTTTGCAGATTTTAAATTGTTACACCTCGGTGGTAATGCAGTGCCATGGCACTTCTGAAATATGACTTCATGATGCGCCTCCAGGCGTGTAGAGTTTTTGGCTAGTACGCACATGTCAGGGAATACACATTTTGGATCTGGGGGTCTAACGCCGACCGCCAAAGGCGAGAAATTAAGGGAGTCTGGACGACCTCCAGAAAAATGTTTGAAATAATAACTCTTGCAAATGCGATTTCCAGCGTTTTGAGAGACATATATAAAAGGGRGTTTTKAGAGGGCATATAAAAGGGATCAATTTTATGTGATTTTTTCAGTAATTTTTGTGAAAGTTTAATATTTCCTTGCGACAGTCACTAGTACGCACGTGCATTTATGCGTAAAGRACGCTTCGCGCCTGGCCTCATTGCACTAAGCGATCGCTCAGACTTTTTCATTGTTCATTTTTTCATGGCAGAACATTCACTAGGCGACATAACTTGCAAACTTAATCTATAATACCTCTTCGAGATGACGATAAACTAAGAATGGCATTATTAACGCTTTCCGTGTGTTAAGCTTTTCTTTGCCGTGAACAGAGAAATACACATAGTTGATTAGACGTAATTGGTTGCTTACTTTACAGATTACACATGCATTCAAACATCGGATAATTCAAATCGGACGTCGTGTTGGTGCAAAAATCCTGTTTAGTTATATATAATACTCATTTTTCCCTTTCAAAGCGACCGACCGCTGTTTTCATTGACAAGAGTCTCATGCGCAGAGACCTTACCAAAAACAAAGGAAAGCACAAATAGATGTTGCCATTACATCAACCCTACAAAATTGAATTTTCTCCTATCTGAGGCTAATCTTGTATCCCTAGAAGGTCGGGATTAGCATCAAATCAGAGAAGATTCAAATTTCTAGAGCTGTTCTCAACAAAAAAAATGTCAACATTTTTCAAAAAAAATGTCAACATTTTTTCGTGCTTTTGTTTTTGGTAAGGTCTCTTCGCAAGTGAGACTGTAAGCAGCCGTCGCTTGCTTTGAACGCGGGGAATAGACCCCTTGCAGTTCATGGGAATGCAGCTCCAACTGGAGGACAAAACAATAGATTCTAGTTCCCAAGAGGATAAAAATCTTTTGTTTCGCCCTCCAGATGAAGCTGCTTTGACGTCACATGCAAGGGGTCTATATGAGGCATATTGAGTGAAGATTAAATGCTGAAGAGCAGTCAAAGCATGCAATGGAACGTTCCTTTCCATACTTGTCAAGTTCAATTTCGATTCATCAGTCTTAGGAATTCTGRAATTAAAGTGAAAAAATAAGATCAACTTATCGCGCTGTTTACAAAACTACCAGGCTGCTTCTTCAAGGGGACATGAATCCTTAAATCTACAGAATTCTTTGATTGAATCAACGTTTCGAATATTGGTGGCCACTTCCCAATCCTGTGTCTCTTATTGCATTARGAAGAAGATAGGGCTAGCATCGATGAATCGACAAGAATATCCMGAAGACTGGGGATCCCAGGGTGCCGTGAAACGCATTTCCCGAATACCTGAATCTTATCATTCAATCATCCAAACACTAGTATTTGCATGTTGTGATCACGTTATTTTTGCTTAATATTATAATTTTATGTGACGTACATATCATGGACACGTTCCCAGTCTATCAAGTGCGAGGCAGCTACATATCCAGGAGTATGGAAAGGGTTTTCGTGCCCTAAAACTTGGGTGGGGGTGTGCCGCTGGGACGTCAAAACCCTGATCCTGTTCCAGAGTGAAATCACTGAAAACTATACCCTGTTCCAGAGTGAAATCGCTGAAAACGATACCCTGTTCCAGAGACCGAATTTTTACTCCGTCAATTTTTACCCAGCATCGAAATAATTCCGAAATTAAACCCTGACCCTGTTCCAGAGAAAATTCGTTGAAATCGATACCCTTTTCCAGATGAGTAAAATCGCTGAAAACGATACCCTGGTTGGCGACACGTCCCCGTATAGCGAATATAGGGAGTACCCCCACCCCCACTATCCCACAATGTTTTGACCTTATTGATTTTGTTCAAAACGAACTCATGTTGTTGTTGTTGTTTTTTTACCTTCAAAATTGATGCAACCGTCACCATCTATATCAGCTTCTTTGATCATGTCTTCAATGGAATCGTCTGTAATGTTACAACCCATCCCATCCAAAACGAACTTTAACTCGTCACCGCTAATTAACCCGTTCTCGTCTTTATCAAATAAACTAAAGGCGTCGCGTAAATGCTGCTCGGTCGAGTCCTCTTCGTTTTTTTTGGACATCATTTTAATGAACTCTGGTAGATCGATGAAGCCATTTCCTGAAAAACAAAACAGCCGTAGCTCGTAAAATTGTGGTGCTTTTGAGCATATTTCCTTTCTTGGTGACACATTCAACTCTTGCCTTGTTGATACACGATAAATTCCCGGATACCCGCTATYGTGAATGCATTTCTATCAAACGAGAACTGACTGCATCATGATTTTTGTGAGAGTGAATTGGTTAATTTTAATCAGGAAAACTCAAACTGTATTTTTAGTCAAATCATACCATCTAAATCTGCAGACGCAATCATGTCTTGAAGTTCTTTAGGTGTTGGGTTGTGTCCAACAGATCGCATAATGGTTCCCAGTTCAGCTGCACTCAACAGGCCGTCGCCATTTACATCAAAGTCATTAAAAGCTTTCGTAAACTCTACGAAATACGACACAGCTCATTAGATATGTAATTTCCTTGGAATTTTATAGGTGGTTGGATAGTTAACCTGATTTGGTTGAATGATTGATATTGTTTGAATGTAAAAGTAAGATGATGTGATTTGATGACGAATGAGTCAGTTGTTTGGTTGGATGATTGGTTTGGAATACTTGGTTGGCTGACTGATTATTTTGTGGCTGTTGGATTGCCTGTTATATCGGTTGGCTGTGATAAGTGTGATAGGTGTTCCTTCTTGTTCCTTGCTAGTTTAAGTGGTATTGATTGGTGAGTTGGTAGTTGAGTTCATAAATCACTTTGTAGCCTTGGTTGTTTAGTGGACTTGTTCAGCTTAGTTAAAGTTTGCTTGGATTGATTAGGGGTTGGAAGTTACATAACTAGTTGATTCGGAGGTACRGATTGATTATTTTCATTGGCTTGTTGGCTTCTTTTGTTGTAGTTATGCATTGTTAGTAAGTTTGTCGTTTGTTTGAATCGTTGGTGTATTTATCCTACACCTAATAGCAAAAAACGTTGTCGGGGAGAACGGTGATTGTTGAAGGGAGAATGCGYGGCTGAAATGGTTGTGGTTACACTGTTAGTGCCAAACAAAATTCCACTTATTGGATTCAATCAACTTGCATAGAAATGGAGACTAAATAGAGCCAATGCTCATCAAAGACTATCTTGCAATACAAATCAGTTGTTATTTCCATTCAATTAGCAAAAMCCATGGCTTACTATTTTGTCCTCCGAAAACCTTTCTTAAAACAGGTATAATATGTTGCTTTGAAGGTCCATTATTTGGTTAAAGTTCGTATTATTCACATTAAACTGCAAAATATTACATTCAACAAATTCTCACCTCGAATATTCTCTTCTGTGATATTAGACTATAAGAAGAAACAATGTATTCAAGTCATAAATGCATGTCATGATCAAGTTATATTTTCTTTGGATCAATTCAGGATTATGTAAGAAGCTAAATGAGCGCAGTAATAAAGAAAATTGCTGAAATTTGTAATTTTACTGTTTTAGATTACTCAGTAAAGTTTTCAACAGTGAAATAAATAAAACTGCTTAGACATTTCGCACATTCATAATCATTTGTAAAATAAAGACATTTTGTCGTGTTATGTTTACATACACGAATAGATTGAACAGTTCGTAAATGCCAAAGTCTTGGCTTTTCAGTCCAACAATAACTGAAGTTTAGTTTTTACTTACCTCTTTTTCGTCTTCCACTGAGAAATCTCKGGCATAAAACTCTTCGTCATCACTCGTCATTTTGTGGAATATTGCTTTAAACTTTAACTATATACCAGTTAAATGAAGAAAATTCTGTTGAACAAATGTTTGCCAAGACTTTCGAGGGGCGTCAATCAATGCAATAAATAGATACAGTACAATGCAGTCATTTGSAAAATTTGTGCCAATATATAACACAACATCTAATTATATCGGGGGGCTTCATGGGTAATAATGTTATGTGATTTTCACTGTTTTCTCTCTAAAACAAATCACAAATAATTTAAATACTTTGAAATTATGTTTATTATTGGTTATTCAAGAATAACTGCAGTTTTATGACAAATAAAAATCTCAAATTTGCAATATTAGCAACCGAAAACATCGGCATATTTGGCAGAATTTCTACAAGTGACTATAAGCAATATTACTGCAGAAGAGGTTTTCATGCAAAAAGTACATTTTCTCTTTAATTAGCCATATATTATACAAGTGTATCACTCTTATTACTATTCAATGCTTTAATTGAAATGTAAAAAGATATCTTGACATGTTTTGAACAGGTATACCGAGCCGACTGAGTCACTGCCAAGACTTCATGATGAAAACTTGGAGCTTTTATTGCTAGCTATTATTGGTAGCAGTATACGACATAGCAAGAACTATACAGGAAAATATTCATAATAGATTCATGCTTATTCTTTTGCCTTTTCATTAAACGGTMTTGAGAGTCACATGATGTTAAACGCATATACCATAGTTTATATATCTCAGATGCATGTTTGACAAATAGCCTGATTTTAGGAAGCAGCATTTGTTGATGATTGAAGAGACATTTAATTTCACCATGAAGTTAACGAAAAAAGTATGTTCAGTTAAAAATAAAACAAAAGGAAATAGAACAAATAAAAAATGAGGTCATTTTTTGAGTCTTATTGTTTCAAAATCGAATTAATCAGAAACCCATTAATTATTAACAACGTTAGCAGACACTTCAAATCCCAAGTTTTTCGTAGCAGATTACTTAAGGTTGGAATTATATTAAGATCCAGCTAGGGAACTCTGAAAACATTCTGAGACTTGAAAATTGATTTAAAGTTCAGTCTAGGTAGTACCCCATCCCAGTCYCTCATCAGACCCCACCAGTAATGTTAACCGGCTTCTACACCAGACATCTATGCAACGAGATGGTAATAAATAAGAACTCCAGAGAAAGCTTGGTAAATAAAACAAAATTGGTTGATGAAACACGAGTACCATGAGGTCAAGTCCAAGACCATGAGGTCAAGTCCAAGTTCTGATGGAGTAGCAGTAATGCAGTCGTTCTGACGACACTGGTTTGATTTGGATCATTTTGGAGCCGAAGATTTAGGTTTTGGAGCTATGGCACTATGGGAAGGGRACCTAATCGGTAGAACACTTCCCCGGATTGTTCTGATGGATCAATGAACATCAGTGACAATTGTAACGTAACTATTTATCACTATAAGAAATAGGGGAGTAAGGCTCGGTTCACACTATGAACAGGGCCTTTCTCCCCTATTTCTTATAGTGATATAAGAGACACCGTCGCGCCGAACCAAATAGTCAATTTGTGTCGACCCAAATMCATTTSGTAYGTCGTTGATTCATACGTCGAACCAAATGCAGTCAAAAGCATAAGAAAAGGTCCGATAAAACGCAATTTGCACCATTATTATTGTCGAAAACAGATATTTTTGTGCGTTAAGTTCGGCACGACGATAGCTCCACGTTTCAATCAGCGTCGAGATTTTGCCGTGCGGCACGACTAACTCTGACGTGCCACTGCCGTGCTACAGTCGCGCCGAATTCWATTGATTCATACGTCGAGCTGTTCATGTGCTGAATTCAAACTATTTGGTTCGCCGCGACGCTGGCTCGACGTATGAATCGGGCCTAATTTTAGAATAGCCAGCCACAATTAATTTTTATTAGCTTGCATTGTTTATTAAGAAATTGTTTTGGACTTATTTAGCTACAGCATTTTGATCATATATTAAAACTCATAAGATAAATTGTATTGGTATTCAATAATATATTTTACTATATTTGACTTGTTTCTTATTTACGTATTCACTTTAAAAATAAAGAGCAGATCTGTAAAATATTTCAAACTCCGTTGCTCGTTCATAGCGGAGTTTGAAATATTTCTAGATCCTCTCTAGATTCTAAAGCGGATTTTCCGGTGTTTCAAACGATATCAGGTGACCTTAATTAGAACACTGGATTGTGGGATTACATCATTGTGTGATGAATAATTAATGAGGTTGAGAAATACTTAGCGAATCCTCCGCGGATATCTATCATATTGATTTAGTGGGGTAGTTGATTATTCAAAACAACGTTTTAAAGAAATAAATTGTCCTTCAAGTTGTGGTTTCTATTTACAAGTTCGTCCCCAGGCTACTCTCTTCACTGCTATAATGTCACATTCAGCGTGACTTCGGCCATCTCGATAGAAAGTACATTTGTGGCTAGACTAAATTAAACCCTTATAGGGAAAACTTCGTGGCAGGATCATCGTTTTACATATTGTTTTTCATTAGCCTCAAAAATTCTGAAAAACAAGAAATATAAGTCAAATCAGTCCAAAGACTAATGATACACTAGGTTGGGCCAGCTTCACAGAGATTTTTTCCAGAGAGCTCACGAAATTTTAAGAATTCGTGAAGAGAAACCCTCAGAATGAGGTTGCTTTGGCTASCTGAGCGCTCACCTTCGAAGTTTATACAGCCATCACCGTCTATATCTGCCTCTTTAATCATTTCTTCAATTGATTCGTCCGTTATGATGCAACCCATACCAGCTAAAACAAATCTCAGCTCTTCGCCGTTAATTACACCATTTCCGTCTTTGTCAAAGAGGCTGAAAGCTTCGCGCAGATCTTGCTCGCTCGAGTCTTCTTCTGATTTCTTCGCCATCAGTTCAAGAAACTCTGGCAGATCAATGAAACCGTTTCCTAAGAAAATAAAATGGAAGATTTAGAGTGATTTACCGTCGACYACATGAAAAGAAAGGCAGTACCCATGCACTAGTTTGTACTAGTTGATAAACAACAAAGGAATTAAAACTTGAGTGTATTAAGTAGACACTAGAGTGATTGCACTTAAACCGTGCAACTGTACAAACTAAATGGTGCTATTTAGTTGTATTTAGTAAATCACACATGCAGTACGCAAATTAAGTTGAATTGATACAAATGAAGCATTTAATGCCGTCTTGCTTCAGGTCAACTTTTAGTACAAATTAGTACTGCTATAGGTGCACGGTTTAAAAACTATTTGTCTATTTAAGCAATAAACAGCATATTTTCGTGCGTTTCTGGTGAAATAAACCACTTGGGATATTGGTAAAACACTCAAAAGGCTGAATATCTGTCGCCTCCGGATAGAGATTTTATACGACATTTTCGTGTTCTCCCAACATCCTATGTGCGTGTATTTCGCCAGGAACGCACGAAAATATGTTGTTTATTGCTTTTATATTATAGCATTTTCGCATCCGTGCGTTTACCAGTGAAATAAACAATAACATTTGACCAATCACAGAGGTATGATAGCTATAATATAATTAGTAATAAATGCTTCACGCTTTAATTCACTGAAAGCACTCTAAAGTACTAAATAGTGCTAAATAGAACAATATAAACAGTATAGATTAGGCAATAGAGAACATTTAAAGTACAATACTCCAATTTCGAGTTCTGGTTTGCTCTGTGTTAGCCTCAAAACCAAGCAACATATTCTTTTGTTTTATATTGATAGCCCGAGAAAACGCATGAAATTCGAAAAGGAGACAATAGAATGGAATTGAAATCTCACACTTCTAATTAGGAATATAATACTTCTCACAATTAGGAATATTTTGCGCACAAATGAGGCTAACACAGAGCATTGGAGAATTCGAAACTGGATTATTCAGACCCTTTGTGGCGTTAACGCATGAAAAACTTATTAACCATACCATCTTTATCTCCAGACGCAATCATGTCTTGTAGTTCTTTAGGTGATGGGTTGTGTCCAATTGATCGCATGATGACTCCGAGTTCCTCCGTACTCAACTGACCGTCGCCGTCCATGTCAAAATCATTAAATGCTTTGGTAAACTCTATCAAAATAAAACACAACGCTCTATTCTGTATAACGTGTTAGTATTTACCATTTCTTATCGTTAGGAGCATGTAGGCATTCTGTCTGCGCATGCGTGNTCTGAAAATAGCGAAATTCATTGAACATATGGTTGTCTTCGTTTTGATTTTTGCCTGCTGTTCAATTCAGATTTTCTACCTTACAAGATATTGAGGCGAGTATTTATGTAATGAAGTTTCAATGTTGACAATATCAATCTTTACTTCAGTGCCGATCACCCTTTGCTAATGGTTGCTTTTGTATGTGAAAATCAAAACAGTGCTGCTATTTGCCTTAACTTCAGCGTCATTTAGCACGAAAATTTTACTTTCGCCCGTGAATAAAAACAGCACTGAGTGGATATATTACTTCTAGTAATTTCAGAAATGAARTCATTTTTAAAATAAAAATTGCAAGCGACGCGGCCGTCCATGACGGGCTCATACCAGCGGTTATTACCACTAATGGTGTGTTGTTTCTTTTTTGCGCGCGTGCACAGACAGAATGCCTAGATGCTATCGTTAGGGCTTTTGAGTAGTCTGTCTTACGACTTCCATATGGATGTCCATAAATATGGCTCCGAAGTACACATAGAAGGCTCTAATGTCCCTATAGAAGGTTCATTAATTGCATAATCCATCTTATGTACCTACAAAACTATGTCGTTTTTCACATAGTTGGGACACGAGAGCGCGTTTCAATGTTTAAAACAGTGCCGTGCACAAGCAGTAATAATAATAGTAATAAATAATAATAATAATAATAATAATAATAATAATAATAATAATAATAATAATAATAATAATAATAATAATAATAATAATAAACTTTATTTACGTGTCAGATTGATCTAGCTTACAATAGTTTAAGGCTAATTGGGGACACCTACCTAAGCTAGTTATAATATATAAAAAGATAATATATACTAGAATGCAGTAACATAACAACATAACTGAAGTCGTACGACAGAACCTTCTTCTTCTGAAAATGTTTGGGCCCTTTCGCATRCAATGATTTGTTAAGAAGTCACTAATTAGACCATAAATGGAGATGTAAACAAGCAAATTCGTATTCAGTAATTAAAAAAAGAACTATAGCTTTGCGTAGTTTTGAAGAAGTCATGACAGTCGGCATCTTTGGAACTTAACGATAATTAACATCAGAATACGGCTTATTAAAAGAGATATTGAATGGACAAGAAAAAGCCACTCTTTCCCATTCCGATTTTTTTTACCAAATCCCAATTGACAAATCCCAATTCCCTGTCTCAAAAAAAGGTAAATTCCAATCCAATTTACCCCTTCAGGAACCTCTTCAAAGTTAAACTTAAGACAAAATCCGATTTGAACATACTGTACCTTTGATATGCTCTTCAGTGAGTTTAAAAGCCTAAAGAAAAACACAAATTTCAATTAGACTTAGTTCTTTTATTAAAAGAAGCAAATTAATTTWTTCATTTTTTTATCGAAATGGAATTTGACCTTCGCTGTGCAATATCAGAAGCCCATTGGCCCCTCACGATATTGACAGTTTTATATTATGGAGTCATTTGACTACAACCACTAAAAATAATACTCGGACGCATTTCCYTGACTTTTTTAGCCTTTTTTTATTCCCTGAAATAACTCAATTCGGTGTCCAATCATACTTTGCTTGTGAAATGGCGTACGTGTGAACTATAGTGACTTGCCTGCTATCTTTATCACAAGTCTGAAAATAAAATATTCCCTCATTGAATAATCTATGTCTTTATGTTTTCAATAACAAGAATAAAAAATTCCCGATTTTAATTTTTAATCAATATCTACACTTCACACGGAGAGCTATTTATAAATGTACAAAAAAATGTTTTAAAAAGTTCATATTGGCGACTTTTGTCGCAACCGCAAAACCAATCAACTAACTCTTTGCGTCTTATTTCTCGAATGCTAAGAAGTTTTTTTTATCTCTATTATTCTTTCTAATGAATATCATAAGTTGCCCTGAGGTTTTCGACTGACTACAAACAAAACATGGGTTTAACATTTTTTTGTTTTTAATCCACGTCACACCTGCTTGATCTTTGATTGAATTTTTTCAGCAAAAAAAAATTATAGATTTTATATATTTCTAAAAAAATACGCAATTTTAAAGATTTTTAAGTGCCCTCGATGCCCAGTCTTGTTGGTAGTCGTCAGTATTAAAGCAAAAAACAAACAAAAAATTCTTATGTTTTTATGAGCAATAATTGTTTTTTCGAGCAAGACGAATTATTAAGTCAAGTTTTAACTGAAAATTAATCCCTTAAAAGTCACATATATTTTTAATGTACAAAAGATTTGTCGAGCCAAGCTGTTATAGCATCATTTTAGCTATAATTTCTGTGTTTTCTGGATCATATGATAATATCTAATGTATTTAGCTTTCAGTTGAGATGAAACATCACGTTTTCGACATCAAAATCATACAGCATGCACGCGACTGGATCAATGTTGAGATTCAGTTCGGTTATATTTGGGTATTTCTCGTCGATTGAAAGTCTTTTGTTAGCGTTAAGGAAAGATTACCATCAGAACTGACCTCGCTTACAATGCTATATTTGCCCAAAAGAGTTTAATAACTCAAACTTTGCAAAATACAGTGTGTGAAAACAGAAAGCCGTCGACTAAACAGTTATAAATGCCGACTGTCAACTAAYAATATAACGTTATAACTGACAAAATTTATTAGCCTTGATCTTTTTCACATTTATTGCAAATTAGTCTTGGTTACGAGGGCTTTGTGAAACGCAGACAAACAAGATCACACAGAGATCAAGACATGGTTTATGGCACAAAATCGAGATTATTGCTAGATAAAATTTCATTATTTGATAATCATATTAAAAAGAGATGTCAAAATACGTTATACTTAACGTTTTGCTGCAAGRATAGGGTAATTTAAGTTTAAAAGTGATGTTTTTGGCTTCTATTTACCTCCTTTGCAACCACKGGTTGGACGGAATAATCGTGAAAATAAAAGTCCTCATCGTCGCTAGTCATCTCGTGTGAAGAATGACTTTTTAATCCACTAAGTGTAGTTAGATTAAACAACTACAGCGAAAATTCGGTCTCAACAAGAAAAAAAAAGGACTTTAGGTAACGTCAATGAGTCGAAAGTGTGAAGATTATTAATACTTCTGAAAGCCTTTGAAGAATAACATCAACGCCTTGTGATTAATTACTTTGAATTTGACCGAATCACTTCACCGCTAAAACCACTATATAGTAACTGCATTGTATTTGCATAGCTTACCATATTTTAAACTAAAATGAGCTTATAGCAAGCTTCTAAACTTGACCAACAGCTCAAGAAGCTTCGACGCGCGTCTTCCAGGCACTTTTAAAGTATATACGTCTATTGTATTTTCCTTGACGTTGTATAAAACTGCCTTTTGAATTTTTGAGACTCATGTCTCTCTAGTAACGAAGGCAATAAAGTTATTTAATTGGTTCACTTATTTGACTCTATGGGGCTTCTGCATAGARCTACGAACACGGTCTTAAATTTTTAATTTCAAACTGTCGTGCACAATAATGATTCAATTTCAGCACGTATTTTTCACCATATGCGAATACTTGTCAAGTTCGACAACTTGCAGAGTTTACCCCTCAAGGTTAGCTTTTTTAATCTTTTTTTTTTCAAGGAATATGCTTTTAAATACTCGATCTGATTTCTGTTTGTGACTTATTTTTATTAGTTGTGTCTTCGTGGAATGTAGACTACGATGAATAAAACATGCGTGGAAGTATGAAGCATGCATTAAGATGTGGAAATCTACCATATTTCGTCGGCACAATAAACCAAACTTTCTACCAGAAATAGACCTTAATTAATACTAATGGCCGCCATCTTGAAATCTGAAGAAATTGTGGGATATCCAGTAGCAAAAGAAGACACTAACCCTTATAACGTCATCTTAAAATATTTTTATGTGAAACTTTCACAGAACGTATCTTTAGCTTTGATATCTATCGGGCGAGTGTTTTCTCTTTTCTTTTTCATGAATTTAACGATAATACGCTAATAGCCATTTTACATTTTCAACGCTCATATGGTACTCAATCTGTCATACTGGAAAACAAAAGAATGGAAACACCCCCAAGCAAAAAAGGAAAGCAGTCCTTCAAACTTGACTTTTCTTCGTTTTGAACATCCCAGTGGCAGTGTGTATTTTGCCATCCAGCACAGTGGAATTAGTACCATGTGACTGTTTCATGCAAAAGGCCTATAAGTGCCGGTCAATGTAAAGTCGTAAATTTGGATGTCCAAACTTCATATCCAAAAGTAAGTCGAATTTTGTTAGTATTAAAACAAATTTCACAGATATTCCATTGCACTCTCTTCCATTTTTTCTAATCTTCCCCAACTATAGGGTAGGATCGAGTTGGAGAGAATCTAGAGGGAAGAGGGTCTCAATGGGGTTACTGTAACCGTGAGCAGTGAAACTCTGAAGTGCAGTTGAACTTATTGAAATTTCCGAAAATGCCTCATTTACTCGTGATTCGAAAAAAAGGCGTGAGTCTTGTTCCTGTACAAATACTGCAATGTTAACCAAGGAAAGGTYGACTTCAATGATATGCAAAATCACAAAATATAGGATAGTAGTACAGTTSCTTTCGTTTCATTGAAGATAACATTTTCAGGCAATGTGCAGCGACGCCAATTTGCGCAGCAAAGCATGATGGRAGTTGTATAGATTTGTAAAATGTAATATTGATATGAAATAAAGATATCAAAAAAATATCATATATATATAAACCCTAAAATATCTCCTTAAAATTCTTTTTTCGCTTTCTTTGTAGAAACAACAAATCAACACCTTTTTTGGAAAAAGCAAAGACATCTTAGTCTGCATTCATTATCATGTATACGGCAGGGGGGGGGGGGGGGGGGTCTGAAAATTTAGGGAAAAGGGGGTATGTTAAATTTTTTGCCCATACGTAAAATGTCTATCATGTCTATCGCACAAATTTAGGGTGGATATGAAAATTACTGCTGAGATTTGGGGGGGATCCAAAAATTTTGTGCCTTCTAGCAAAATTTCCTCTCCCCCCCTGTGGTATACATAATGAATGCGGCCTTTTTAGGGCTTTTTAATGGACACAAAAAAAGGACTGCAACTACCATCATGCCTTGCTGCACAAAATGGCGTCGCTGCACATTGCGTATTCTCAAATATTGGGTACTATGCTTGATGATTTGCCTACTATCACCAATACTTTTGTGAACATTAATTATTATCTGAAATTGTGGTGCCTTGAATTACGTTATTAATTGCTTTATCTATAGTAGCTCATCATTTTGAGTTTGTAGACAAACTAAACAGTCAAGCAAGCAATATGCTTCAGAAGATTTCAGAGCAAGTTAACTGATTACAGTGTCTAATTGATGAAATACTAAATGTCGTGCCGAGCATCTAATTCCCCTGTGTATAAAAGCATCCTTAATTTATAGTCAAAATCATTAGAAAACTACAAAAAAATTATTCGTCAGAAGCCTTGTCCTTGAGGTAAACAGTCGCTCCTGCAGAAGTGGAAAAGACAGCAATCGTTGTCTTGACTCCTATTCCAGCCGCGCCTGCACTTTGAAGGCCTGCAAAAACGCTGCTCGAAGCTACAGCTCCTCCATACACTGCAGACTGGACTCCAGCAGCCAGCGAACCTGCAGCAACTCCTCCTGCTGTGAATCCTGCAGCACCAAGAGCAACAGGTGCTGCAACTACAGCTAGAGTACCTCCTGCTATACCAAGTGCATAATCTGTCCAGGACCAACCTAAAAATATAAGTTGTCCTTCTTTAAAAGAGCTAGATTTTGTATTGTAGGGAAATATGTGCAAGTTTTAGTACATAATAAGTTCTTAATTTTAACCGAAAATTGACGACAAATCAAATCCGATGTAAAACTCTGTTTAAAACCATAGGAAACCAAAGCTTTATTAATTTCGAAGCACTTCACTTTCTATTATAAACAGCTGTATTCCAGCTAGCGGAGTTTAAACTTAACCCTATCTARAMCCGGGGAAGGCCTAAGGATAAACGATAGGTTCCTCGCGGAAATTGTTTCCTAACCGCGAAAAGGGCTAACACTCGAATTATTTATCTCTATTTATCTCATTTTTGACGAGCTTCGAATAATACAGCCCAAAAGAAGTGCTTGATATTTCTATACAAAGTAGAACTCGTTTGATTTTAAGACTGCGCCGGCACGCTGCCGAGAATATAGACACCGGCTTTAGTGAGTGATTTGCGCTGGTTCTCACTAAAAAAAAAATATTTTTTACGAGGAAGGATTCTTGCAGCAAAATAGGCAAAAGATAGTACTGTTGTAAGCTGTCCTTGTCGGTGGCTGCTGTTGCATGACGTAATAGCCTCGTTTTGAATAAAGTCAGTTACGTTCGGCACATGGCGTGATTTGCTAACTATAACATGGCGGCAGCGGTGGTTTACCCAAAAATCTGACTTACAACGCTACCTACGCCTTCCAAAACTCCGAAAACATTGGCGGTACATCGTATTGACAGAACAACCCAACCAAAAACTTCGAGTGAAGGGAAACGGCGACAGAAAGAGACGATTTGCCATCAAGAACAAACTCACCAAG